TATCCCCTCGATCTCGTCTTTCTGCCTTATGCACTGACTTAGGGGCTCTATAAAGATGGCAAATAAGAGTGGGGAAATAGGGCAGCCCTGTCGGCATCCCCTTTCTAGACCGAAAAAATTTGTCGATCCTCCATTTATCCTTACTTTTGCTATTGGCATGTCATATATAGCCTGTATAGTTCTTATAAAATTGTCCTTGAATTTAAATCTCCGTAGTACCTTATATAAATATGACCAGTTGACCGAGTCAAAGGCCTTTTCCGCATCCAATCCCAGCAAAACGGCTTCTAAATCATGTGCCTTTACATGAGCAATTATGTGTAGGGTTCTTCTGACATTATCCATTGTCTGTCTTTGCCTAATAAAGCCGGTCTGATCTAGGTGTACGATATCTGGAAGTATAGTTTCCAGACGCCTTGCTAAAATTGATGTAAAAAGTTTATAGTCTTGGTTCAAGATACTAATTGGACGGAAATTTGCACAATCGGTTTTGTCCTTCCCATCTTTTGGTATCAAAGCAATGATTGCCTCTCTCCAAGAGGGGGGGATGACTCCATTTGCTAGGACCCAATTGAATGTTCTCAGTAGTAGTGGAGATAAAATGTCGCTGTAAACCTTGTACCACTCGGAGGGGAAGCCATCTGTGCCTGGGCATTTGTTCGGCTTTAGTCTGGAAATAGCCTTCTGTAGTTCACCCATAGTCACTTCAGCCATGAGAACTTCATTTTGATCCCCTGAGACCGTTGGGAGGTTGAGTGACTCCAACATAGCGTCGGGAGCTCCCCCATCAACAGGGACCCTTTGAGAATAGAGATCTTTATAGTATCTTTCAAAGCAACTTTGGATATCCTTGAAGTCATGTTTCATTTGTCCAGTACATGGATCCTTAATTCCATGCACCACCCTCTCCGCTTGTTGTTTCCTTAATTTATATGCCAGGTTTCTCGTCGCTTTACTACCTCCCTCATAGTAATTTTGTTTTAAGAAAGTAAGTTTTTTCTGAACGTCTAGATCATAGATATCTTTTATCTGATTTTTTACTGCCTTAATTTTTTGGTCCACCTCCGATTGAGCATTTTTCTTGTGTTGCCTCTCTAATTGCTGCAATGATTTTTCGAGTTTTTCCAATTTCTCCTGTCTGGATTTCTTTTGTGAAACCAGTTTTGCAATAATTTTCCCTCTCAAAACTGCCTTGCCTGCATCCCACACCATAATCGGGGACACCGCTCCGTTATCATTTTCTAACAAAAATGTTGAGATTTCCTCTTTTATTTCCTCCCTCATCTTTCCTTTAAGTGCATTTAAATTGAGCCTCCATGCACGTGGACCTTTATTATATTTTACTTGCAGATCCAAATAAACAGGACTATGATCCGATAGATCCATTATTCCAATTTTACATGTCCTTATAAGACCAAGATCTTTACTGTACATGAAGAAGTAATCAATCCTTGAGTAAGTATTATGTGGCGCTGAGTAAAAAGTGTAATCTCTGGTAGTCGGGTTAAGCTCTCTCCATACATCACATATGCCCATCTCCTTCATCATCTTTCCCACTTTCTCAGCCACTGGGTTGTTATGCTGCTGTGATGTTCGTGACACGTCCATTTTGAAATCCAATTCAAAAATATGTCGATAAAACCTCCATGATGCCCCGGGTGGAGCATAAACATTTACAAGGGTCACAACAGATCCCTCCATTTTACCCACAACCATATTGTACCTCCCTTCCTTATCTTTAATTTCTGACTGCAACTCGAATATTACTTTTTTGGAAATAGCAGTAGCCACCCCCCTCCTATGTCCTTTCTCATAGGAGGCTGAAAACACCTGCTTAAATCCCTGTCTTCTGAGTTTCAAATGTTCCAAGTCATTTAGGTGGGTTTCTTGTAGAAACATTATGTCTACCTTATCTTTCGCCATTTTGCCCAGAATTTTGCTTCTCTTGATAGGATTTAGGATACCTTTCACATTGTACGAAGCGAACCTAAGTGGCATTTTGTGACTTTCCATCAAAAAGTAAATAACGCCTATTGCTTAAACGACCCATTTTCCACTCGAACTCTAACATGTTAACGAAGAAAAAAAAAGCAATAATAGAACAAACTCTGAGAGAAACAAACTCAGTAACTTGCAAAAATTCCGCCGAGTACGCACTCTGCCATGAGGTCTCAAATTTGACCCCAAAAGAGCCAGGATCTTCTGCTGGCTCGGAGGGGAAACCTTCACCAAAGTTCCCTTGGAGAGGGCC